TAAGGGGATGTCCAGTGGCCTACAAATGGGCTTTGGGTCTCCACTTGGCACTCCCCCCCTCATTCACAGTGATATAATTTTTGGTTCTGATGATTCCTGATACCTGATTCCTTCGACACCTTGTGATTGCACAGGCTGGTGTACTTCTTCCATGTGGGCTTTGTTGCTTCTGAGCTAAATGGCCGCTTGTTAACCTTCAAGCCTTTAAGACCCCAGATCCTAATCTTTTGATAGCCGAGCACCATCAGCTTTCTTCACCACATTTGCTTATGCACCCACTTGTCTTCAGTGATGGTGTCAGGGAGGTGAGCACACAATGATATGATTTTTTGTTCTTTGATGCCTGTTCTTTTTTTTTGGACCGAGTTCTTATTAAGTCTCTGATTGTGGGTTTTTAATACATCTCAAACTGACTTTCTTTGAACATTGCCTCTTACGCAGCCGTCATCAAATGGGCCTACAGCATTTCAATTTTACGATCTCTAAAATTCCGTTCACAGAAACTTGTTCATGACAAATGAAATCACCGTTATCTGAATCACCAGGCATATCACTGTTATCCTTTAAACACACACACACACACACACACACACCTTTTCATTCAGGTACAAGTGGAAGCTCACAGAGCAACTTCATTTGACGTTCGACAATTCACACATTTTGTTTCAGGACATTGCCATGCCCACGACGTGACCACACTCATCCCTGTGTTTCCTGTTTCCATTTGTCTGTCTCTCCTGTCCCTTCCTGCCTTTTGGGCTCTCTCCCCTGCACATGCTGCCCTTTTGGTCTGGTCTGGTTAGGGTTCCAGAGCGTGCATTGCTCCCTGGTGTTTATAGTTCATCTTACAGGCCTGTCGGTTGTTTGGTTGAAAGTTGAGCTACAGGATTCTGTTCAGTTTCAGCCTGCAGGGCGCCTAAAGGCCATAGTGTCAGGGGTTCCACCCAGCTCCATCAGATCAGTAAGTCTTTTTATGGTTTTCAATTTTGTTCCATGTTTTTCTGCCACCCCACCTAAGACCTTCTGTTGTCCCAGTCAGAGTGATTAGTGGTGGTAGCCAGGCACCATCTGGTTCTCCTGGTCTCAGGCTGGTGTTCATAAATCCTTAGAACAAATTGCTTCCTTGCATCTTTGATTTTGGTTCTCCTTCTTTGCTCTGGATGGGAGAGACCAATGGTTGCACCTTGGATGGCCACTCACAAGTTCCAGGTCCCCAGACAGTTGCTACTCAGCAGAGAAAGGACTAGAACATTATCTTTGTGGACGATGTCGTGCCCATTGATGTCCTTCAGGACTATGGTCCTGAGTCCGCAAGCCTAGCAACTCCTTTGGGGAGTTACATTAAAAAAAACAAAACAAAACTCTTTAGAAGGCATCACTGCAGATAATGGAGCTGGTCAATGAGAATGTCTATCCAGACATATAGATTAAGTCCTTGCTGCCCATGTACTCTAAGAAGCCCTGATGGTATAGTGGTGAGACACTTGCCTGAGCACTGGAAGGCCAGTGGTTCAAACCCACCAGTTCTGGGGTAAAGATGCCGCAGTTAGTCTGCTTCTGTAAAATACAACCTGGGGAACCCCATGGGGGCAGTTCTACTCAGAACTCCAGGGTGCTATGTGTCAGTATTGCCACGGGTGTTGGGGCACTGAGGGTGTTTCTCTCAAAGGCTAAATGTCGGTCCCTTTGCTTTGCAGCGATCCCTGAGGCGAAGGAAGGAACTACGTCCCTCCTGCCAGGCCCGGGACCTTTCCCAGGGAGTCTGCGAGCTGGCCACATGCCATTTTTCTTTCATCCAGCCAGTGGGCACCAGACAGCCTCGGTGTTTCCGCCCACCCATCCTGAAAGCCCAGGTACAGGAAGGGCACACCTTCGCAGGACGACCTCTGCCAGGTCCAAGTCCCATCTGTCTCTGGCGTTTAATCACACAGTCGGGCGCATCATACTTTCTGAACATAAAGATGTCAAATTTAACTGCTCAATTAGCATACCTACTATCTACCAGGACATAGCCCAGATTTTTTGGTGGAAAGATGGGAAGGAGTTGCTTGGGACACATCGTGCAATTACTCAGTTTTATCCAGATGATGAAATTCTAGCCATCATTTCTTCCGTCAGGTAAGTTTTCTTCTTCTTTTTTAACCTTGTCATGCTATTGTTGATGTAAAGAGCCTACATGTACAAAAGTTTATGTTCTACATAAGCACTCCACAGGTCCATGTAGTGTGTAGCTTCATAGCAGATTGTCTTCTTACAGACTGACTTTGTCCTCCCTGGAACAGTTTGTTGACAGGTACTCAGGGGCTGGAGGCTACGCCCCACCTGGTCTACCTGTATGCAGCCAGACTCAGAAGCTCTCCTCTCTCAGACTCGGTTCCGTACCATCCAGTCACTCACAGCAGCCCAGCAGGGCAGAGTCGAAGCGCCTCTGTGGGTTTCTGAGAGCCTTCGTTTTCCCCTGTGGAGCGGCTGGTGATTTCAAGCTGCTGACCTTTCCGTTACCAGCCCAACTCGCAACCCACCATGCCGGCCACCAGGGATCCTCTCAGAAGCTCTCCTCTGAGTAGGAATGGAGGTTCTTGAAGAGTGAAGGATGTCTGATGTCAGCGTCCCCCAGGGGGCGTGGGGTTTTTAAACCCATGCAGCCCTTCTATGCCTTTCAAAAAGCTCAATGTGTCTCCCCTTTGACTTCTCAACACTCCCTTCTCTGAATCCTGGGACCAATGTAGCCCCCGAATGCTACTGAGAAGGCAAAGGTGAATGAGCTAAAGGCTGGAGGAAAGATACGAGCCCTTGGCTACTTGCTTCAGCATCTTCGCTGTTGTTGTTGTTGTTGTTCGGTGCTGCTGAGCGGAGTTTGTGAGACTGCCCCATGGGGCGCTCTCGGCTGACTCGATGGCAGTGAGCTTCATGGTTGAGTTGAGAATCGTTCATGGGAGCAGACTCCCAGGTCTCTTTCTTCCCGGGTGCGACTGCTGGGTGGGTTGGAACCCCCAGCCTTCTTGTTAGCACCTGAATGCTGCCCCTTGGGGTCACCAGGGCTTCTTCGCCATCTCAATCCACCCCCCCCCTCATTCTGGCCCTGACTAGCCAGATGAGTTGGAGATGGAAGATTACAGGGATAAGTCAAGTCAAGACATGTGTCTACCGTGCCCCATTGCCGCACAGACAGAGCCGTCGTATTGCAGAGTGCTGTAGAGAATGAGATGTTTGCTTTTTTCTTGCCCCATTTCCTCCTCGACTCTCGGACAGGTGATTATACATTGGTATTTCTCTGTGGGTACAGTTTTAGAACTGGGGGGAAAATACAAAAAAGTGTGTGTGTGCGGGGTGGTGGGGAATATCTGTGGAAATGCTGGGAGGTTACACATTGGGCTGTGATCCTCAAGGTCAGGGGTTCGAAACCGTCAGCCGCTCCTTGAGGGAAAGACAGCTTTCTCTTCTTGAAAAGCGTTCATCTCGGAAACTCACAGGGGCAGTTCCCCCCTGTCTTAGAGGGTCACGACGAGGTGGCATAGGTTAATGGCAGTGAGTTTGTTTATTTTTTGCCTCGTGTGGAAGTACTGACACTGAACTCTGACCACGACCTTAGTCCTGTGGTGACTTCAAGGTGGTTTCCTGAAAAGGAAATACGCGGTGACTCACCAGAAGGAATGGGGGAGTGCGCCAAGGACCAGACCAAAGACAGGGAAGGGGTAACAGGTCCCCCGGCCTTGTGATTCCTTAGTGGAGGACCACAGTAAAAAGGTTCTCGCCTCAACTCTTGATGGCTCTCACTGCATTTTGAGCTTTTTCAGATGGTCGTCTGAAAGTTGGCTGTTCAGACCCACTCAGAGGTGCATTGGAAGAAAGGCCTGGTGACCTGCTTCCCAAAAGTGGCAGTTTGGGAAACCCGCGGGAGTTCAGCTCTACTCTGTGTGCATGGGTCACCACAAGTTGGAATCTACTAAGCAGCAACTGGTTTATTGATTTTTTTTATAGGGGGATGGTTTGTCATTATCATATTCTTCAACTTTATTAAAGTATATTCAGGTGGCATAGGATAACTGCCGAGTAATTCAGTGACGTAAATTATAGGCACCTAGTGAAGGTGATAATCATCGATGGGATTTCTTGGCAAGAGAGAAGTATGTTGCAGAACCTAATCTTAGGATTTTTGAATAGATTTCCACGTCTTTTTCTTCAAAACCACTGCGTGGGTTTGAATCACCCATCTTCTGGCTGGGGTGATTGAATTAGCTTTTCATTCAACAATCTATATACATTTCGTTTCATGACATTGGTTGCAATCTTCTCAGCCTTAACTTCCCACTTCCTCCCTGGGTTCCCCATTTCTACTCACTCTCCCCTGTCCCTTCCTGCCTTCTGAGCTTTGATTTTCAGTAAATGCTCTCCTTGTGTTCGCATATGGTGGATGGTACCAAGGAGCATGTTCCGCCATAATGTGATATTATTCACATTATGCACTTGTCCATTATTTGGCTGAAAGTTAATCCCTGAAAGTTGACTTCTGATCTGGGCTTGAAGGGTGTCCAAGGGCCACATTCTTAGGGTTTCCTCCACAGTCTTATCAGACCAGTAAATCTGGTCCTATTTAGGCTTTTAAATTTTGTTCTACATTTTCCCCCTCCTATTTGTTTCATGACCTTCTCTTCTGATCCTTGTGGAAACAGTTGAGAGTGATGGCTGGGCACCATCTAGATCAGTGGTTCTCAACCTTCCTAATCCTGCGACCCTTTAATACAGTTCCTCATGTGGTGGTGGACCCCCACAACATTATTTTCGTTGCTACTTACTTCATCACTGTCATTTTGCTACTGTTATGAATTGGGCGACCCGTGAAAGGGTCATTCGACCCTCAAAGGGGTCACAACCCACAGGTTGAGAACCGCTGGTCTAGCTCTTCTCGTCTCAGGATAGTGGAGGGTAAGAGTCTAATAGTTTCTTTGAGGTTTTTGATGGTCTTCACTCCCCTATGCCCCAGATGGAGCGAGCCCAAGAGTTGCATCTGACATGGATGAGCACAAGCTTCATTTTTTTTGAAGGGAAAAAAAGTTACTTATAATTTTATAAGAGACAAAACTAAACAATGTAAAACACCAGAGTCATATGTAGCTGCATGAGGCATCTTTGCTGCTTAGGAGACAGGAGACTTTCCCCACCACACCTTCCTCCTTTAAGTCCCTGGCTGAAAGCAGATCATAACCCAGGGTCCATCAACATCTTCTGAACTGCAAAACCACTCATGCTAATTGTCTCGCCATGACAGAATAAAATACCAAGTCTCAAATGGAAACCCCTCAAAGGACAATAAAGTCATTTCCAACCCAGCAGCCCACTTCCCAGAAAGGTAAAAGGGTTCCATCAATAGGCTAAGGACAGTTTTGTTTTCTTTTACCAGTCTTTCATTAAACATGTGTACATTCATGAGTTTAGCTTCCGAACAATACAGTCCATTGGTCCTTAGCTGAATGGAAAAAACATAATTATTGATGTCCAAAGATTTCCAAGAAAAAGTGAACACAATTTCCTTCTCTAGGAGACAAACAATCCCCTTATCACACCTAACATTGTGGTTTACATATGTAAAACCTTATAACAGTACAGAGATTTGATGGTTTATTCACATATGATTAACCCTGAGATAGCTTGCTTTATGCTTCTTTATCACATCAAAGGTTTAATTGCAAAATTGGACCTTTGTTTAATCAGGAAATATGTCATGAGATGAGGTTTGGATATATAGGTCCTGTTTTACCCTCTCTTTTATACTTCAAATTCGACTGTGTATTAGAACTTACTGCTGCAGGATGAGCTGTGCCTTTCACGATCATGGCTGAAACTGGAGGGCACGGCCAACAACAACAACAAGAAACCAAGCCTGAGTCATCCGTGCGTGCTGTTTCAATGGTCTTCTTATACGGAACAAAAAGTAGAGAGCTCACAAATACCACCATCACAGCATGCGTTTCACATTTATGTTGGACTTCGGCTTTCAAAGCAATTTCTTTACAGTTAAGCCAACAAGCGCTGAAGTCCCAGGTCACTCGACTCTGGGGAGAAATTGGCATGCTGATGCATCCGAAGGGCTGCTCTGGGTTGGACGTTAGAGGTGGAACAAAATAAGGGAAAGCAGCCTTTTCCACTTCAAATCCTGGAGGTCAGCCATAGAGAAGAGATCCCACGCTCGATGAAAAGGGAACATGGCCGGATAAAAGAGGCAGGACCACCTGCTCCAAGACATAACACGGAAATGCTTGCCGAGTCCTGATTCAGAATGTTAGTTTTCTTTCTGAGATGAAGAAAATATAAAAGCACCTACAGGTCAAGGAAAATGTTCTTCTTCCACCAGAGTAGGGTGTAGAAAGGGCAGCCTTTACGCAAGGACAAAGTTCAGAGGGTTAGGAAAGAACGGGGCATGGAAACAAGAATCAGGCAGGAAGTGGAATAAGCGATGGTACATTCAAGGAGTTATAGTGGATGAGTTGACTCAGAATGTGTATGAATTGTTGTTGAATGCAGAACGATGATCTCGCTGTAAATCTTCACCAAATTCATACTTAAAAGTTTAAAGACAAAACCGAAGCAGGATATGGATCACTGTCTTTGGGGACTGCATTATGCCAATTGACCTAGACGTTTTGGCCTCTTTCAGATGAGGGCACTGAAGTTCTAAGGAGTTGGGTGGCTCACATGACATCAGGAGATAGCGAACCAATCAGCAATTACACCAGGTTCCCAATCTGCATACCTGCAGTGCCCACTCTCCTCACATTTCCCAGGCCCTAAATTAATCTGGTTCCAAGGAAGAGCAAAGAGTCGAAAGTTCAAAAATAAAATAAAACAAAACAACATTTGAGGCTTTTAATGGATGCAGTTTTATTGGGAGTTGACTAGCCTGCCATGTTTTGGAGTTGCCATTAAAATGCCCGCGGCACAGTGCTCATATGCTGGGCGGCTAACTGAAAGGCCAGTGATTCTCACTTACCAATAACTTCCCAGGAGAAAGACGAGGCGGTCTGTGTTCCTAAAAATCCCTTAAAAGCCTTGGAAACCCTATGGAGCAGTCCTACTCTGACCTCTAGGGTCGCTAGGCATCAAAATTGATTCCAGAGCAG